GTTCGCAAAACAAATTCTCATATGTAAAGCTTTATTTTACAATTTTGACTTATTTTTTTTATTAAGAAATCATTTCTTTCTCAGTTATACTATAATTATTTACAATTTGTTTATTTTATTTTCTTGAATTTGAAAATCATGGTTATATTTTCTTAATAGATGATATGGGAAATAATGCACCTATTAGCAGACTACCTCAGGCAGAAGAAAGTTTTGATCATCTTTTGAAAGTAGCAAAAGCAGATTTACATAAAAGAAAAGTTTGACATATGTACTGTCTAATAGTCATAATTTAAATAATAGTACAGTTATATAGTTATTATTGAAAATTGACGGAAGAAACACATTGTATTATTTATATATGTTGCAGCATATGTACATAAAACAGTGTGTTTCTATACTCTAATATCTCTTTATTATAATAGTAAATATTAAAAGCATATATATATATACAAAATACCTTATTTTAATAAAGAAAAAAGTAGCTCTATATTTTCTAAATTTGACATATTTTTTTTTATATAATGCCAAGTTTAGGAGATATATAGTTTTTCTTCATTAAAATATGAATATCCTGTATTTGTATGTGCAATTTACAGATATTTAATATTTTGTTCAGATTTTTTAATTTTTTTGGATATCTGTTACCTTAATTTGTCAAATTTTAAATTTTGCAAAAAAATAAATTTTTTTAAATTTTCTAATTGCTTTCATCATATTATCAATACAATTTAATTAATCGAAATATTACAGTTAACTAAACATAGCAAGTACCTGACATAGTAAAAATTACTAAATTCAAGTTAACATGAACTCTGCCACACATTTTAGGAAATAATGATACAATAAAAGGCAAAATTTGCCTTAATGTATAGACATATATCCAATACGTTTTAGAATTTCAAAAGCATAAATATGATGAAAAACTGAATAGTGAAGGATAGATTATATGTTTCCTTCGAGAATACAAAAAAAAAGAGTTTTATCTGAATATGCAGCAGTTCGAATACATATGCACATTATAACTGTTTATAGAACAGTTTTAAATATATAAATCAAGATTCTTTTTATAAATTCTTTGACTATATTTGTTATAATATTTATTGCTTCTTTATGATTATGTACTTTACTATTTTAAATCATTCATCACATATTTAATTTTTTTTATATATTATTTATATATATCTCCTTTTTGCAATTCAAAATTAATCAATGTTTATCTTCATTGTTTGCATCAATAATAAAACAATTCATTAACAAAAAGTAAAGTTGTAGAAGAATTATTAAATTACATATGCTCATTCAAATATTTGGAACACTTTATAATTTTTAAATAAAAACATAAATTATAGATATAATTATTTTATTAAAATATTGACATTTATCTATATTGTATTGCTTTAATCGCCTCAGGGTTACAATGTTTTTTATATCAATATTTATTTATGAATATATATTTAAGTAAACTTAAAAATTAAAACATAAATTTCTTAAATTATTCGTGTATCTGTAATCATATTTTTGTTAGAAAATTATAGGATGCTCCAAATATTTAGGCGATAATGTATATTAAATATGTTATATATTTAACATAAAATTTCTACTACAACTACATAGTTTAAATTATTTAATATAAAGAAGATATTATCACATTTTTATTGATTTAATCCCTTTATTTATATCTTTATTTACCATTGATTATTGCCATAATTAAATATTGATTAAAAACAATTTTCCCAGTAAAAATAACTCAATGAGATAATCTTTGTTTAAAAAAAAATTGAAAAAATTTTATCAGATCAGCCGAATTTCATTTATAATATTATTATCTATTATCTAAATCTATTAACTTTTTAATTAAACTTGTGTACGTATGAATGTATATAATTATTGTCAAATAAATGCTTGCATATTAAAAATCATGTGATTATAATGATTAGTACTATTTCACATTATTTTATTCCCTCTTTATTATGTTTCTAAACTTCCTATACCGAAAATAAATTATGTTTACAGTTAAATAATTTATTTTCATGTACCTGCATAATTATATAATAATGATAACTTGCCTTTATGATCGTAAGCAGTTAATAACATATGTTCGAAGTTCTTTATCATCCAAGGATGTTAACGTGATTGTTGCTTTATATAATGGAGGAGTTGTTGGTAGAATATGTATGATCATTGGAACTTGCTGGGTGAATGATCTCACATCTAAATATACATATTACTTAAAATATTATTTAAAAAACTATTTTTCCTGAAAATAGATAAAATACAGCAATCTGCATAAAATATATGCAGATAAAATATAAAGGGTGTTTTGAATTTTGCATGATAACGGTTAATGCCAAATTTCTTTATTTTAAGATAAAAATTTTAATATCAAAATGTCGATATTATACAAATTTTTAAATGAGTGACAAGTGCTAAAAGTTCATTAATCAAATTGTACAAAATTTGCATGTTTAGACACATCGTATGCAAAGTCTCAAACTTCTATATGTATATGTATTTATTAATGCGAAAAAAATTTTAAAAAAGATATATTCTATCAAATTGTATCGAGTGTGCAAAAGATGATAGAATAGTATAAAAAGAATTTATTTTGTTATATAATGAAAAAAAGATATAGATAAAAATAAAATTATATTTATTCTTGCATTTTTAGATAATTCTTAAATTTTTTTATAGATTATAATTCAAATAATAGTTTTATAATTCAGTTAATAGTTTATAATTCAAAAATTTTGAATACACAATTCCAAATTAACTAATAAGTTCATAAGTAAATGATAGTAGGAAATAATATTTTTATATTTTAGCAAAGACATAATGTGTAATGTCTTAAAAATATAGTATTTTGCATATATGTAATATAAATTAAGAAAAAGCAAATAAAATATACATTCCAAAATTTACTTGCCTTGTATTGTAAAATATTCTGGTAGAACAAGAGGACTTAATTTGTCCGAAATCGTAATTTTATATGTGACTGCAGTATTAAAAACGTGAGTAAATTCCAAAGCAGAGTCAGTATCGTTTTCTATAAACCACTTTATTAAACGTAATTCGATACAAGTATCTGAAATTGTAAGCAAGGAGAGATTAAAGATAGAATAAAAGCAGATAAAAAAGTGCAACGTAATTTAGTTGTTTATTAATGCAGCAAGATAAGTAAGATTGAAGAAATTTAGCGAATAAGTTTTTAGATCTCTACTTATGCGATTTACTGGGACATACTTGAATATTTGGACCAAAACAAACGTTCCCGCTTATCAAGACTTTTTTGAAACATTTCAGCAACACATTTTCGAAGTTGAATGTTACACGATGGTATATCAATATTAAACGGGCAAGTGTCTCTTATGCTTACACTTTGCCAATCTGAACAAGGGCATTCTCTTTGAGTTGTCCATTTAACAACGATGTGATCGTTGATTAATGGTTGCCAAATTGAATTTATCTGTTAATCGATGGAAAACATAATATTATTGAAATAATATTTTTAATTTATCAAGTTTTAAATGATAACAAGATTTTTCATATTTATATTACAAATATTTTTTAACAATATTTTTTTGCCAAGTTTAAATGATAAAACAATTTTTTTATCATAAAACTTACTTGAATAATAAAGTCGCCCGTTTGCGCTTGAAAAATCAACCAAAATGTTCGTTGTTTAGCAGCAATACATGCCACGCTGATAGATAAATACGCTTCTAATGCTCCTTCAGCAACAAATATTGATTTCTGATTCAGAAAAAGTCTTCTCGGTATTTTCCTAGTGAGCAATTCACTCCATTGTGTCATTTTTAGAGATGCTAAAAATAAAGATAAATATATAAAATTATATATATATCTACATATATTATTTATTATAAAATTAAAAATGATAAATTAGCTTAGAATATATTTTATATTAAATGTAAATGTAATTATTTGACGTTACATATATTATTTTCCGAGACTTCTATAACGATACAATATCAGATTAATTTTCAATGAGATCTACCTTAAACATTTGAAATTATGTTCTATAATAATAATATTAAATTTTCATAAATAAGGTTGTTATAAAATATAGGACATCTTTAAATACTGCTATAAAATTTAATTTATGAAAAGATATTATTAATAAGATTTAAACATATTCTCAAATATTCAAAAACATTCTCATATTCTCAAATATTCAAAAACATTCTGTAAATCTTTTTTTATATTTTACTATGTATTTGATATAAGCATTTTTTAATATAAATTTTGATAATTCTCCGTGTTTGCGATAAACTTTAAAAATTTTCGAAAGCAGCTTTCAAAAATTCTTATTTTCCCTTACAAGGATGGCTTGGCCGTTCCTCTGTCATCCATATCTCATATTCTGCCGCATTTTTGTAAGGTACGCTGATTCTCAAATTTTTCTCGACAACCTCATACAATTTGCTACGTATAGTATATTCGCTCGCAATTCCTAGATTATCGATGTAACTCTCTAAGACGATGATCTGATTTCTTCCAAAATGTGGTCCAATAGCCCAACCGCAAAGGATCAAGTACGCTATCAGTACATTAATAAATTTATTATAATTCTGAATCTATTATACGCGAAAGTTTAAAAAAAATCGCATTACCTAAATTCATTTTGAACAAATTCAAAATTTACAAAATACTTAGTTTGATGAAATATCAAAAGTAACGAAGCTGCTTCAAATTATCAAATTGGATAAAATATAATAAATACAAACATTCGGAATCAAAAAAGATCATTTCAAACATATTTATTTTTTACCTCTACTGTTTCGTATTTTCTTGGCATGAAATTGTATTTGCACTTGGCTGTTGCTATGGGCATTTAAATGTAAAATTGACACCGGCTTCAGGATAGAAAAAGAATGATTAACATTGCTTAGGAGTAGCAATAAATAATTTACTGGGTTATCTGTCGGGTTCGAAACGCTTATTTGCTTCGTTACGGTTTGAGACAACGAACAATTAAATTTGATCTGTAATAATAACAGTTGCGTTGTTACAATTTACAGGACTATGTATATTTTAGAATTAAAGTTGTTTATATTTAGAAAGTATTGATACATAATAAAGAATTTATGAATTTTTTATACAAACCTTGGTATAGGGTACGTACGTTGGTAAAATTTGGTAAAGATGGACGACCAGTATTAACATTTGCACTTGATTCGAATTAACTAGTTGCATAGGCGTAATCATAAAGCAAAGTCGTATTTTTCTCCAAGCGGTGACTAGACAAATAGCGTTATGCAGCATCTATCATACGGTATTACGAAATATATAATATTATAAGAAATAAGAATTAAATAATAATATATATATATATATATATATATATATATATATATATATTTTGATATTGTTTAATTTTCAATACAAAATCATTTAATTTTTTTAACTAACGAACTTTCTTAACTTATTGTTAAAGCCAAATGTTTAAATTACCTCTTTTTGTTTTTCGGGCAGATGTACAAATTACTAAAATGCTCGTCAATAAGAAAGGGACAGTAGGCCACGGTAACCGCGATTAATACAAGACCATCCGACAAGTCGCGATGAAAATTCTGGATTGTGCGACGTTCGGCCACATCCCGCTTCCTTCGTGGATTCAAGATTACACGGCGATCGGTCATCCAATCTCGCGCTCGTTGTTGCTCGTAATGATATTGCAGCCAAGCCAGGAGAAACTTTTCTTCCGAGCAATACTCGTCGGAGGTCGTGAGTTCACGGTTTGGCAAATTTGCGATATTCCGAATAGCACTCTCGTGTAGCTCGTATTGTCTCGGCGAGCTGGGAAAGGTGTACCAGATTAGAAACGCGATTGCGGAATTACGTATCGCGGTATAACGAACCTCGATGTAGATGATATTATCGATTCCCGATACACCGTAGACCTCTTCGAGGGACCCGTTGCAGAGAACCCGTTCCAGAATTTACGTTTGTGTATTCCACGGAGTACAAAACATTTGTACGTTTGCAAAATCACATCTAGCCAACATTGTTTACTTCGCGATTCGAATAAGTATCGCGGTAGCCGTTCGTCTTGGTCATAATTCGCACCGAGATTCTTTCTTCGTGCCTGTAATAATTAGCCGTGAAAAAAATAAATCATTTATAGTCTAAATAAACATTTTTTCCATCTATTGACCTTTAATAGAAATCTTATTAAATTTTGTTTGTGTGTTAAATAAAACTCTCTCATGACTCGTAGCTCATAACTTGTAACTCACATTGTTTTGTGTTATATCAATGCTAATTAAATAGTCGTCATAATTGAGAAGAAGTTGCGGCGAAATATGAATTAGATAAGCTCCATGAGATAAAAGAAAATCAAGCATCTTTTTATATAATTGAAGAACATAATCGACTCTTTGAACGTTATTTTCAGGTAATGATTGTTTTGACCTTGAACAAAGAAGTACAGTAATATATTTGAAGAAACATATTCAAATGCGTGAATATTATAATATTACAATTCTCCCAAATAAGTGCGAATATTGGAGCCTACGAGCGACTCGAGGACATTGATAAATGACGGCACAGCTGCATCATTTTTCTGTTTAGAATCTTTCATATATGATCTTTTTTTGTGTAGAAATATGAAAAAGCTGTCGTAATGCCATAGGAGATGTTTGGATAAAATCTAAACTTTAATGGGCCCGAATACATCCATTCTTCCATAACTGTCATTATTCTTTCCATATATTTGCTATTATTAATAAATAAAAATGCAAAATAGTTATAGTTACAGACCTTACATTTTATTATATTTATAATTAAATATATGTGCAGAATTTTATTTAATTATTGTTAAATTGATAATTTCTGAATATTAAAAAAATTTAAAAAATATTTAAAATTAGGAAGGATAAAAGAAGGAATCAAATTAGACTATTAGTAAATTAGATTATTAGTAAAAATATTTATAAATTTATTTGCACATTGTGTTATTTTATTTTATGCACATTGTGTTATTTTATGCATTAATATATTTTATATATTTTTTATTTCTATATTTATAGTTTTAAATTTTTATAATAAAGATTTTTATTAAACTTAATTGTCTATTTCATTAAGTTTTGATCATTAAAATGAAAAAAAAAACATGATTGATAATTACTTTTAAATTTTTTAGATTTTATTATCTATATTCTATAATATGTATTGTTTGTTTTTAATTCTAGTTTCTTAATTCAATTCGTAAATTACATTTAAATATACTTTATCTCTCACTTTTTGAAACTTACTCATTTTGATTGTCATCAGAATTAAAACGCAAAAAACTCTTAGAATACTTGGGGTCTATTATCTTAAAATCAATAGATTTATACGATTTATATTTTAACGGTGAATATTTGTTGCAAATCGGTACTTGTTTATCATCTGGATTTCCATCTACTTGTATATTCTTATTATCTATTCCATTATCATTTATTTTTTTAATCCAATATTTCGAATCAACAAAACTTCTACTCCAACTATTTAAAGGTGACGTAACGCTGAGTCCTGATTCAAATAGTTCATTCTGTACTTAAGTAAATAAATTACATGAGTAAAACATATAGCAAATAATTTTATTCTCTTATTCTTATTATTAAATATTAAAATATATACTTCAGAATACAGAAGATATAAAAACACATTAAAAAAGTACACAATGTTTAAAACATTATAATTTTTCTCAATTCAAGAAAGAAGATAAAATAGAAAATAAAAATAAAA